AGATCAGCTACAGGGAGACTACAGACAATTTTGGTGACTAGGCCTATGCCGTCTACTTGCTCTATTTTGGCACAACTTCTACAGTTCAGGTCCACTTTAATATTATATGTAAGTAGAATACAGTGTATTTTTTTCCAGTACCCTAATACAACATGGCACATTTTTTCACTTGAATTATCGCATGCAAGCAGTCTTCCCAGAGTATCAAACAAATAATTTTACAGGCTTGCTAAGTGTATTTCTATTAAATTAAGCTTTACATACTAAGCCAGAAGGACTAATCATATTTTGTTTGTCTCCACATTTTCTTGCTCTGAAAATGCATAATGCATTTGTTGAGTGTGAAATTTTATGCTCCTATCTATAGAATACATGAACCATCTGCCTTCCTGTGTAATGCTAATGTATGTCTCACAATGTTCAAACACAGTACAACTGCCAGTACTGGCAGTATCACTGGGTAATGGTCACTCTCTGGATAACTGTTTTTGTGTTTGACACATTCACTGTCTCTAGGAGAGATGTGTAGCACATTGATATTTCTCTTTTTTTCTCTACTTTTCTTTTTTCATCACATAACAGCTACTATCAGCTCTTACAGATGACTTTCCATTCATAACTGTGGCAGTAAATTCACATTTTGTCCTTGTTCGATAATTAATAGTGTCATGTCAACAGCAATGACAAACATTCTAGTACCTATTCTGCCTCTGCCATAAGATAGGCTATAGCTATGAAAAATTGCTTCCTTTGAAGTCTGCTTTCGCTATGTATTTGCCACCTAACACTCGGAATGACCCCTGTGACACATTTGGGTCTTTCAACATATTTCAGTTATGTCTTCAGACCCCTGCAGTCGCATAGCGGGTGAGAAAAGGTTTTAAGTGGATATCAAGTTATGTCTGGCCTTTTCTTGACCACTCTGCATATAAATGGTAGCTGTTGCTTGGCTGCAGTGTCAACAAGACACATTTAAGCCATTTGACAGGCTACAAGCACCCAAAGTCATGTTTTCAATAAAACTGTGTATCTTCACCTACACGTCCGTGTCTTAGAGGCATTATCTTGTCAATCACATGTCTGGGAAAGAAGAGCCAGTCTATTAAATATAACTGAGCAAAGTCAATGACTAATTTGCAATTTTGTATTGTTAAAAATCAGCAAGTGTTGCCGAAGCACAAAGGATACATTTGTATTGCAGCTACGTAAAGGGGCAAATGTTGAAATACTGTGTAGGTGCGTTTTTAAGTTCTTAGAATCCTTCACTGCTAACAGAAATATGTGGAGTGACAGATCAAATGATGCCCTTCATAAAAGATGATAGGGATTAGTGATAAAAATAGATGTATTTTTTATAAAGTGCTTTGTGTGTGTATATGTGTTTTTATGCCAAAGTGCTAGGGACTAACACACAACCCTGACAGCTGTCTTTATATGTTGTAATGGTTTATGATTCAAAATATTAGTAATTATTTTTTATGATACACAAACAGAGGTCACTTTACAGTCTCTTACAGTCTGTCAGCAAGTACCATTGCCTTTTACAAGCCTAATACCTCTCATCCGTTCTCTGTTTTAAAGTAAAACTACATTTAAAGGTAATTATTTAGTTTTGGATAGAGCAGCAAATGCTTAAAACCTGTTAGGTTTTTATTGCCTACACTGCTTCTATTGGAGAGATTTCCGTTATTTGCCATCACAGTGATACCCACGGCATTGCTGTAAGACCAAACTTGCTGCTTATCCCTCTTTAGTGCATTCTTCATATACACTGCCTGGGTAAAGAGAAAAGTCAGCAACTGGATTTTGGGCAGTGGTATGATCTGGAGTTGCTTTAGTTGGTCAGGTCTAGTTTCAGCAATATTATGTCCCCCAAAAATAAGGTCAGCGGCCTACCTGACAATGCCAGGGTTCGTCAGGCTCAAATTGTGATAGAGTGGTTCAGGGAGGATGTGACATTCAGGGCTATTCACAAAAGGGTGAAGAGTTTGGAGAAGGCAGGAGAAGTGAACAATCTAGGACAACATAGCTGCACTGGAAAGGGAGCTGAATTGGAGAATTTTTACAAATCAGCTATGTTGGCCTAGATTGTTCACTTCTCCCGCCTTCTCCAAACTCTTCACACTTTTGTGATTAACCCTGATAATTTTCACACATGGATTGGCCATCACAGAGTCCAGACCATAACCTCATTGATAATCTTTGGGATGTGCTGGAGAACATTTTACGCAGTGGTCCGACTCTCCCATCATCTCTACAAGATCTTGGTGAAAAATGAATGCAACTCTGGACAGAAATAAAATATTAAAGGGTGTGACATTTTTTTTTTTGGCCAAGCAGTGAAGTTCTAAGAAGAACTTAGTAAGGGCTAGTGAAAGTGTTGCTGGGTTGATAAAGGCTTCTTTTTTGTAATGTATTTAGATATATACCTATTTCGCTCAATAAAAAAATAAAATAATGGGTAGAGTTCACTTTCATCTTTTTAACATATGGTAGTCACGAATAGATAAATATACCATCTGAGTTTTTTTTTTTAACAGGTAACTATAGTGTAATTTCTGTGAGAAATTGTTTATAATAAATGTTAATGTGTTTAAAGCAATCCCTAGGCAACTTAGACATCTATACATTCTTGCCATACCATGTTTCTGTTATTGTATTTCCCTGTATAGATTTGTAGATTCTCCCTGTAGTGGCTATCTGCAGTCAGGCCTCCCTGATCAACAACTGCTGGAATAATGTCTCAACCACATAAATAGTACATTTCCAAAAACACTCAGACTTGACTTTTATGCTTGGATTGAGATAGAGGAACTAGGTGGACTAGTGAGCATATATAAACAAAAAATATGGTTGCCCCAAGTTCACAAACTATAAACAGCAATAAAGCATTTATATTGATAAAAATCATATAAATTAGGGCCTGTGTCGGTGTTCTTTTGTTTGCACTAGAACTACACCTCTTCCCCTAAAAGTCAAGGAGACAGCATAAGCAGGTTGAAGCAAGTTAATGCAGCTTAGGTGGTCAAATACATCTGTCAATGAACATTGAATGATCTCAAACTTAGGTAAAATGCAAGCAGAATGCCACTGAACACATGCTGCAATTGCCCACCCACACTACTTAATAGGTCAATCACACATGTATAATGTACTTCAAATAATGAATGACCTATAGCTTCCATTTAAGGAAGGTAAGGAAGTTACAAATGGTCAGTATTTTTGTAATTAAATGTAATAATATGACGGCAACCTGCTATGCATTGATGGAATATGAATGAAAGACTCTGAACAAACCTCAAGAAGGCCGTACCTCCAGAACAATATTATTTGATTGCATGTATTTTAATGATACCACTGAGCAGCCATTTAGGATCCAGAGAGTGGTCAGTTAGCACCAATAGTTCCATGAAATCTCATGTTTGCAAGCAACTTGTTTTGTAATATAGAAATTGATAGATCTACCTGAAAGAGTCCCCATCTAGGCTGGTAACCAACAGAAAAAAAAATCAATGACTACAAGCACTTGAAAAAAAAAACTGGTTGCACTTAATGATCTGTCCTTATTAATAATAATTTTAGAAAATGCTTCCAAATATCAATAAAAAAAATATGTTATTGTATAATCTCAAGGCCAGTTTCATTAGTTTGGAGATACGATCCAGATAAAAACAAAATCGGAAAAAACAAAAACGGCTCCATAAATTTGCTACATTTGTCCAAAGACCTTATGGATGACCCCAGTGGCATCAGAGAACTGAGATAACATCAGCAGGGAAGGCCCAAAAGGTTTGCAAAATAGTCATAAAACACTCCAGAAAGCCTTAACAACTGCAGGTAAGACCCTCTGGTTTCGGAAATCTATAATCCCCTTATAGCTGCACAAGTCTGTTTATGAAACTTATGCAAAACTTTATAAACATAAGTTTCATACTTTTATGTGTCACCATAAATAAAGTTACATTTAGCAAGTCTTAGATTTCTCAACTTTTGAAAATGCAGTTTTTGTTAATGCTAATTGTACACTAGGTTGAAGTGCACCTAGGACAAATACTGGTTGACATAATACAAAACTGTTAATCACCATTTTTGAACACATTCGGGATTATTGTAAAGTCATAGGGAAAGTTTAATAATAAATTTAATGATACAGCATGTTCCATAGGAAAAAATATTTTATTTTTTTAAGAACAAATTCAGTTTGAAACAAACGTGGAATGTGAAATTTCAGAGCTTTGTTGTCTGGTAAGGAACAGGTTGAAGGGCTAAATACAATGTGAAACAAAAGCAAAATTGTAAACCTAAAAAAGGCTATTTTGTTTCTTAAAAAAAAAAGAAAACAAATATTTATAAACTCAGGCATAATACTGTGTTACTTACAAAATTGGACAAAAATTATTTTAAATAAATATTCATGGTACACAATTACGGCACATATATGCAGCAATTTGGCAACCTTTTTTTTTTTTTAACCTTTTCTTCCTCATTACAGTGCAAAGGGAAATGACACTGCCTTTAAACAAGCGGTAGCTAAATACATAGCAAAAATTCAATTTTATACAAAACATTTTGCTTAGACTTTGTAAAAAAAATCCAACATTGCTCTATGTACACAATCTGGTTAAGAAAATCCATTTGTCTTTTTTTTTCATGTGTAATATTCTATATTAATATTTAAAAAGGTGAATAAGGCTACGGACACACCCCAAATCCAGATACAGTTCTCAACATATTTACAGCTTCACTTTGACATAATGGTGCAAATTCCTAAGTCGGGAGACTAAGGATCACATGATCTCACAAGCAAGGCATTTACAGAAAAAAAATTTCCAAACCTGAACCAACTTCTAAATAAAAAGGAACAGTTTGAAGATTGTCATTCGGCGTCAGACACAAAACAGACATAAAAGTAAAAGGCTGACTCTGTTTGCAGGTTGTTGCATCTGTTAACAAGATTTTCACAGCTTTAATCAAAAGGAGATGGCCAAAAAGATGTTAAAAAAAAAATCACTTGTGACTTTCAATAGAACAGAGGATGGCATACTGGTGGCAAAAAAAAGGCGAATACTGCCAACTTATCATAACATTTATTTCAGGGTGCTGAGCAAATATGTGCATCATACAAAAATAATGTATTATGTAAAATGTTAAATAAATGCCACCCTGCTGTTTTTTTTCCATTTTTTTTTATTACTGACCACACAACTATTCCTTAATGCCAACATAATATTCAGGTTCAAGAAAAAAAAAAAAATAAGGAGTGCAATCAGTCTAGTGACAGTTCATTGTTGCAGGTGCTCCTTAGAGATTCAAGAACCTTAAAACGCTGCTACTAATTTTTTTTCTTTCCATTTCAGAGAGCAAAGTGTTACCATAGAAACAGAACTGTGTTGATGATATCTGTTTTGCATAGCACATAAATGTTGGAAAAAAAAAGAAGGGGGAAGAAGGTAGAGGAAGAAAGAAGACAGCAGAGAAAAATAACCAAAAAAAAATATAGGTATTGCATTCTGTAACCTGCTGAAGTCTAGTGTAACATTTTTGCATTAAGGCAAAAAGGAAATGCGAACGCAGAAAATGACTGACAACACATTTTCTCATCTTTGTTACACTTATGATGCAGTAACACTGATTTCCTGCTTTTGGGCTTGAACTTCCTAGTCTGCTCTTGTGTGAGACGCCTTAGAGGGCTTTGTTATTTTTCCTTTTTCTCATCATTGTTATTTTTGGAATATAGTTGTTTTCTTCCACCAGAAGCAATGTCTAATTCAGCTCTAACACCAACAGTTAAGTCTATTTAACTGCAGCAAAAATGGATTTGACATCTTCTGGTGGGGGCAGGCTGTGCAATATAAAATTATATATTAGTAAAATCTTTCTTTTTTTTACTATATATCCCCTGTGTGCTATACACCTATTAAATACGTTTTTTTTAATTATTTCCTGCTCTCCATACTAATAATTTATTTTATACCTAAGAACTGTAAAATGTTTGCCACATGTGCTTTTACTTTGAAACAGAGCACCAGCGAACTGCCATGTCAGCGACGATTCTTACATGGCACTCCCTCGGGACAGCATGACCACAAAGCAAAAGTGTCCAATGATTTATTTAATGAGTGCCAGATAAAATGGCTTTCTCTAACAAAACATCAGTGAAGGATAAAAAAAATAAAAATCATTTTTTAGCGCAATTGTGGAACATATGCTCTACTTTGACCTTTGGTTCTAGAACTCAGAGGTCAGATTTGGCTTTCTGCTATTATCTTGAAAGCTTTCTCTATCTGAGGAATAATATGGTCAGTGTAGCACCTGAGTCTGCTTATATATTTCAGTCACAACAGACTAGGAGTTTCATAAAACTTGTTCTTATTGCCTTTATCTCCAACAGTCTTGCCTCGTAACAACTTGCCATTGTCCTTCTCTACCTGCTTATGCTCATTTCTAAGAATATGTAGTGTACAGTGTGTCACACACCACTGCTGGATAGTCAGTACTCCTTCAGCTACAGTCTTACTTCACTGCATCTCATAAGATATCAAAGTGCTTTGCTGCTGATGTCAATTTCTGTCCTATGCTTTATTTCAGAGGCAATAGCATTTAACTGCATTCAGCAGTTTAGCCTATGGACTAGTGGACTTGCTGACAGTTTAAGTTCTTGCTGGAAGGCTCTGTATTAGCAAATACAATTTCCATAATATATTACCCATTCGTGTGTGACTGCGGTAAAAATGGATGGAACAAGAGTCTACAAAGGTTAATGTTCCATTAGTGATAAGGGAGGTGGAGTGAAAGGAAATCTTATGTGAAGGATAGAGCAAACCTAGACAAGGGATGAACATGAAACAGTGATGGACTAAATTTTAGAAAATGCAGATATCTGTGTTTTTTCTAAAGTCCTAGACACAAACATTTACTGACAAATCCAGTATGCATTAAGAAAGCTAGTTGATATTAAATCAGAAGATTGCATTTTAAAGATAAATAATCTAGAGCATATTTAAAATGCCTAGGATGAGTAATGTCCTTGAATCTGTCCATGTGAACCTGGCTTTTGAATATGCTTGGATGCCTGAAGCTCATGGCTTAGAGGGTGAACATGACCAGGACATAGATATAAGAATGGGCATATCTGAAAGTCTTCCAGCGTGCAGTGAACACTTTTCGCAGGAACCATCGGATCCCATAAACTGCGCACCTTAAAGAGGCTTTCTCTGAAGGAAGGTTTTCTCTTGTGCCTGTTCCCCAATGCAAGTCCATATTTATGCATAAGGAATCACTAAAAAACCCCATCAGGAAGCAACGGACCTTGAACTGTCCATACTATTGTCAAAAGGTACCACCAGATTCCTCAGACCTTGTAGTAAATATTTGCTGGACTCTGTGGTGGCATCTCTTGCACAATGTAAACAGGATGTCCATAATCCCCGCTGACCTTTTCATAATGTGGGCAGAAAACACTGTCTGCAGTCCTTAGAGGAATGATAATGTCACTTGGTTCTGAACCATTGTTATTGCCACCGCGTTTTGGTGTGGCCAACGTACTAAGGGACAATGTTGTTGTGTGCTGAGGTGAGTGCTTTCTGTGTCGTCTTCTGTATTTCAACAAAAGCACCACTAGCGTGATGATGATGACGATGAAGATGATGCACCCTGAAGCAATTCCTGCAAATAAGGCCACCTCAGATCCAATGATACTTGTGTGTCCAGCATTTTTTCCATTTGTGCTAGACCCTACAAGAAGAAAAAAAAGAGCATTCAGCAAACATGCATCTTAATGTAATCTTAACCTAGCAGCTATTTTATTTGGCCAGGTTTAACATTTTAAATTCTCGGTAGAGCATACAAAATGAACTGGCTCGCAGCTGAACTTTGACAAAGCAATTACCCTCATAGATAGCTAAATGCAAGCACAGGGAATACACGATCAATATTAAACAAGACTTTGTGTCTCATAATCTTACTTTGAAGCTGAAGTTCAACCACATTGTTTCTGTTATGGACATCCATCAACAAAGACAGTAAGGCCTTTGTATACACCTCTTCTCGGAGCAATTGCTGGATGTCCTGTTACTCTTGTACGGAACAACAATTCCCATAAGAATTGCCAATAACTGTACAAAGCATATCCTATTGTGTTTTCCCAGCAAATGCTGATTAACCTATTTAGTGCCTGCGGGAACTGCAGCCACGTTCCCTTATTATGATACCAGTTATAACGCTCGCCAGTGCAGATGGCTGTAATGTAATGTAATTTCATGTACTTATCAGTGTACTCATGAAAACCAAAGTTAATTTGGGCACTGTCATAGAAATATTAATGATTCAGCTTATGTATTACACAATTAACTAAACAAATGACTGCACATCTGGCGGGCAGTAAAAAGTGTCACATTGGAACAGCCTGATATTCTGCTCTCTCAGCACATTATGAATTAATTATAATAATAAACACATATAGTATAATAAGCACAATAGGGGACATTATAGACAAACACATGGTAGGAAACTCCTCCCATTTTTCACATCGGGAACTCATGCCACGGGACATGCGTCAAGAAATATTTACAACGGTCTGACACCTGAGGCAACCTCCACAAGCTTTATTATGCAATTTTACTGGGTTTTTATTGATATTAACAAAGTAACACTGTTTTCCTGTCTTACACTATGATATCTTGTATATGAACAGGACTAGCTGCCCGTTAATGGCTGTAGATATTTCTAGATGCACAGTGCCCTAAAGGGCATACACAAGGGCATTTTACAAGTAGTTCAAATTTTAGTGTCTTAATATGAAACACTAAGCAGCCCCGCACTAAAATACTCTTGCTATTTGTGCCGACCTACAAATCCTGTTATGAAGAAGCCTCTGCCCTGGAGGGAATGGAAGAGGAGGTATGTGGCAATAGAAGTGGGGTATGTGATTTAACGCTTTACTACACCTTAATTGGAAAAAAATTATATATACTGTATTGAATAAAATACCTATTCTGATTCTTTGGTTCTTGCAATGTAATGGATATTTAAAGAGACTTTTCAGAAAAGACCCGCTGCTCTGGGAATAGGTGATATTTCTGTAAAAAGCATATTGATAATATATGAAAGATGTATACCTTCAGGACCATTGACAAATGGACTAGTGGTTGAGCTCTTTCCATTGGTACCCAACTCTGGATATGGGCGTCTTGTTGGGTTTGCATTTGAGTTAGTACCCGGAGAGTCAGGATCTACACAAGAACATAACACAAATTATTATTATATTCAGACAACATACTGTAGACAGTGTAAAGATATAATTTGAAATAACACAGGGTTAGAAGGTGGAAATAGGAAATCCATTGTGTACATGTTTAGATGGGAGTGATTTTCTTTTTCACACAAAGCTCTGAAAGAAAGCTATTTTAGACACTTAGACTGTAAAACCATCTGCAGAAACTATAGGGATGCTCACAGTTGGCAAGCAAAGCTCTGCAAATGACATTTCAATTTAGCAGAGTAAGTTGATGGACTACTAAACTAAAGTAGTAATTAGAAATATTATTCATTCCTGACACACACTAAGTAATCTATACATATGAGCACAAGGAAGCTGGCAGCATAGTGCATAGTTTGTATAATAAAAATTGTGCTTCCACAGAGGTTGTGAGTGTATGTGTGTATATAT